GGGTTATGTGTTTCTGTGTATTGCTTTCATTGTGTATTGTTGCAGTTTAGTATTTTTGTGGGAATTATTGACGAAAAAGTGGATAGAAACACACCAATATATTGCCCCTATTTAGTTGATACCTGTTCCTTTGTGCTTTGATTGCAAATTTTTAGCAAATGGGTACAGAAGCAAAAATGAAGGTAAGGTAAGGTAAAACAATAAAAACAATACTAATATTGGTCTGCAAGAGCATATGTCTCGATATATTACCTAAGATATTTAAACTTGTTCCAGATGCCATGAAACTACTGTGTTCCTGGGTGCAAATCGAACTATTAGGAGTTCCTTAAAAACTGAAGAAATGCAAACATTTTCATTTCCAAAAAAATTCTGAATTGCAAAAAATGTGGATGAAAGCAATACACCAAGATAATTATACCCGAGATTATACAATAACGAAAAATTCTGTGGTGTGTTGTAAACATTTTGAAGAAACCGAAATAATTAGATTTGAAACAAACAAGGATAAAGGCGTAGTTCGAGAGTTCAAACTAAAACGTCCAACTCTTAAAAGTAGGTATCTCTTATTTAAGAAAATCAGCTCAAGTATTTGAATGGACCTGCCTTCCGAAAAAATCCCGAAGAAAGAAAAAGTTAGATTTTCAAAAGATATACTGAAACATAGGCCTTTAACACTTTAGACTCTAGAAATATATTCATTTAAATCAATTATTTACCGTTCTTATTTACACAAATAGTTATATTATTCATTGAATTACTGTTTTTGGCCCTTTAGTACAATAAATTATGAATTTTTTGTGATTCATATTAATAAAATAAAAAATATATATTTATACAAACAAACATCACCAGCACCACTTGGCGGTTAGATTGCGGTGTTGCCTTTTTAACTTCATGGCTTGTTAAATGTAGGGGGCTGTGTATGTGCACTTAGTAGATCCTCAAATTGTGATTGTGAATACATATTTTTTTTATTTTAAATTTTTTTCATCTTTTTCGTTTTTAGTTAGGTACTTTTTTTATCTGCACCACATATTATATTAAGTTTTAAGTTGTTTGTCTTTCTCACTGTTTCTTGTATGTTTTTTTACCTATGTTTTGTTTTGTTTTCGACGCGAGAGTTTTAAAATAATTTCCTTTATTGTTTTAAGGATATCTATGGTATGACATTGATTTTTTAAGTTAAGAACCTATGTATTATGCGCTAGCTAGTTAAGTTGCTTTGTCAATGATTTTGTAAAGGAATTTTGACAATAAAGCTTTTTTTGAAGTGAATTGAATAGAGGTGGTGAACACTGTTGAAAAAACTCCAATGTTTTGGAAACATCAAGGGAGGAGAAGAATATAAAGTACCTACTGCAAACAATGATGCAGGAGGAAATTCAAGAAAGAAGATAGAAGATGTAGCGATAGAAGATGAGGTTTCTGGCTGCTTGTTTTCAGGGTATGAATAGCCTTGATGATCGATAATGTCCGAAAAAAAAAAGTCAAAGCCATTCCTGCATATATTGTATATCTTTGCTTTGGCATTATGCAAAGTACAGTCCATTTGAATGTTTAGATAACATTAGAAGTACGACATTCACAACAAAAAAAGTTTTGCACCATCTCATTTTACATATTCAGCGATATCTAAATTAAAAAATCATCAATAATAAAATAGTAAACAGTTTTAGATTCCTATACATTTTTAAGAATCATCGGGCTACAGAAGAAGCGTGTAGGTATATATACAGGGTGTCCCACTAAGGTCGGCAAGGTACGATATTATGGTAACCATAGACCTAACGGCTTCGGGATTTTTTTTTCTTCACTAAATCGGCCGTGAGAAATTGATGGAATTTATTTTCAAGTATCTAAGATGACCGCTAGGGGGCGCTATTACGACGATATAACTAAAAATTCAAATTTTCTCAAAAAATCGCTATATTAGGATACTGTTTTAACAACGGAAACCAAAAGTTAATTAATTTTTGCGCCAGTTTGGTTATTAGGCTTTCTTCGTATCTTCACTAGTAAGTGTAGGAGAAGCTGGTGAATAAATCGTTTTAAAAATTACTGTATCTTCCATGCCCCCTATTCAAACACCTTCAATTTGGGCTCATTTGAAAGAGAATTTCATTGTTATTAAGAAAACCACTTCGTTCGGGGTCGATAGCACTCACCGCGTTTTCTAGAGGGCGCTGTTTAACCAAGCTCCAGTTTTTTCTAGTTTTACTGAAAATCCAAGAAACTGATGTAATTTTTAATTGCTGCGCTTAAAGAGCAGAAAAATATCTACATTTTGGCGCAAACCGCAATTCAATATTGTCGTATCTAGGATAATAGGGCATCTCCCTTCGGTTAATTAAACCCAATCGTCTTCCAAAAGAGGTTCATGGGCTTCAGGAAAATCATTGATCACGTTACATTTAAATAACATTCCGTTGCAAGTTGGAGGAATTATTGAATTATTAATTTATACGTAAAAGGAACCTAAACCCATGGAAGGTCAATGTCAACGACAGTTCACTGGTAATTATTATAATTAGCGATCACGCGCCATGGTCGCTTCATTAGTATAAAATAATGGTTTTTGGAAGATGAAGGGGTTGTCTACAGACCGAGAATCATCCGCGTTAGTTAGTCAGTAATGTTTGTGCCATTTAGTTCCATATCTGAAATGTATTTATGGTTACCACAAATTACTGACTAACTAACGCGGATCATTCGCGGTCTGTAGACTACCCCTTCATCTTCCAAAAACCATTATTTTATATTAATGAAGCGACCATGGCGTGTGATCGCTAATTATAATAATTACCAGTGAACTGTCGTTGACATTCACTTTCCATAGGTTTAGGTTCCTTGTACGTATGAATTAAAAATTCAATAATTCGTTCAACTTGCAACGGAATGTTATTTAAATGTAACGTGATCAATGATTTTCCTGAAGCCCATGAACCTCTTTTCAAAGACGATTGGGTTTAAGTAACCGAAGGGAGATGCCCTATTATCCTAGATACGACAATATCTGCAGTCGTTTTCAAGTTATGCAAATAACTGGTTTCCATAAAATATCGTACCTCGTTGACCTTAGTGGGACACCCTCTATTTATGTGCTTAAGGACACAATGACGTCAAAGCCATTCCTGCATTATATTGAAAATAATAGTTATCAAAAATTTAATTATTTGTTGCAAACTAATAGATAGAGAGCCAGCGCCGAAAAAAATCTGTGAATTTATTACAGCCAGTTTTTGGATAGTTGATTACAATAGTTATGTAGATGAATATAGCGCGGTCAGTCAAGCGAAACTAAGTACAAGGACCTAGGGTGTCTTGTTAAAGTTGTCGAGAAAATATAGGTAGGTACCTAATGCAACGAATTCACTAAGGCTGAAAATCGTTATACATATTGGGTTCCATGATTGAACGTTTACGTTAAACTTAACACAAATCTGTTATGTTACGGTAACAGGAAATAGATAACATATAAAATAACAGTAGATGTTATATTGGTATGATTGACAGAGTTGATAACAGAAGATGTTAAGCTGGCTGTTAGGAATGGAAGAAAGTATTTGTACCTGGCTTCACTTGGGTTTCAAAGTGACTTTTTTCTCAACACACAATTAAGTTACATTTTTTTTGGCGCTCATTTCACATTTTATTAAATTTATTAGGGCGAAAAGATTATCTCAAACCTTGAAGCAGTATGGGGAGCTCGCTTTTTCAAATCATATAAATGCAAATGGCCTGGGTGTTGGACTCCAAAAAACGTAATCAGTGGATACCATTTATACAGAAAAATAGAGCATTACTAGAACCTATATAAAATTAAACAGATACAGATAGGTATACTAAGAATTCAGATTAAATTGTTTAGAATTTAGTCTTTCTGTTCAACTGGAATGAATGGTCTGTTCCAACGCGCCAAAAAACCGTCCAAGAACGGTTTCGGATTATTTCGGAACCATTCTGTATACGAATTTCGGTTTTTACGCACAAATTTCACGTTTTGCGCAGAATCCTGACAGTGAAATGTAGGTATTTACGGTTCTCTGCTGGGTTGAAATAAAGCGGAACAAAGCTTATCGTTTAGTAAGAAGTAAGCTCATCTGGAGTTTTGAAATGATTTGTTGATCTTTGGAATGACTTGTTTGAATGTTCACTTCAGTCCTTAAATAGTATATTAATAATAAAGTTTTGTATAATTCATTAACATAAAATATTGATGAAGTTTATACTTAGTACCTAGGTACCTCCTAATTTGATTCTCCAATTCTTGTATTAAATGTAAATTAATTAACCCCCTAATTTTAAAATAAGATCTCTAACAAAATAGAAAAACATGAACGTTGGACACTTAACGGCATGTTATTCGGGGCTGTTGAGGCGATATGTTAAATTAGGACATAACAGGCGAAAAATAACAGTAATGTGTTATTAAAAACTTTACATTACACCAAATTGCATCGTTGCTGTTAAAACTCAGCCTAACATGTTCGTTACGGATAACGTTAACATTCAATCATAGGACCCATTATATATTACACATAAATAACAGTGATGTTAGTCAGTCAGATGAATAGCGGAACCGTGTTGGTCAGTCAGCCCCATTGATATAGGTCAGCGCCAATATATGTAAAAAAAAAATAGGGCTATTTTTTTCAGAGTGACAGTGACAATTGGTGACAATTTGAAATTGTAGGTTGAAGTATAAATTAATAATACTTATTTCTTCTAGATTTGATTTAAGGAATTTTCACATATATTTGGGCTGACAGCACGGTTCCGCTATTCAACTGATTGACTAACATTACTTTTATTTATATGTATGTTATATATAATATTACAACGATTTTCAGCTTTAGTAAATTCGTTGCGTAACTTATATCTACAAGTTGCTTAGTAATCAAAAATATTCCTCTGTACAAATTATTGACTGTTATCTTGGAAGCACAATTCCCTGGACGTTTATAGAAAGAGTATTTGAATTAGGGATGATAGCTTACCTCTCCCGCACCAAGCTTCACTGCTAATTTGAAAAATTCCATAATTATCACCATCCCTGGATTCAGAATTTAATCTGGATTCTTGATGAGCTATGCAGGTCCACATACTTAAGTTATTGAAGCCATTTTCTTTGGCTGCTTTGGCGAATTCGCATCTTTCAAAAACTTTAGCAATTGTGACACAGATAATCAAGACCAAAATAAGAAAAATTTGCCTCATAGCTGCGTAAATCTAAGCACTTAACTGAATAGTTTTAATTAAATTTTATGTTTATAGACATTTATATCCTATAATTTACTACTTTTGCAACCTTCACAACATGATATATTGATAGAACCATTAATTATAATAGCATATAATTGCCCTTCATTAAAAAGTAAGCTGGCTCTCATAAGAACCTACTGCTATAGTCAATATCTTCTGCTATAATTTTTTTTTTCACCAACTTATAAAATATGCACAAGTTTAATCATCTGTGGTAGATTGCACCAATAACATGAAATCACTGAATACATACTAATATTTTCCAAAACTATAAATAAATGCCCAGTATGCATTTTAAACTTAATATTGCTCAGAACGATTCGAAGGCAATATGTTCGCAATAAATAAATTACAAATAATTGGCCTCGTTTTGTCTCTAAGTTTAATAAGCGACGCTAAGGTATATTCAAAATGTGAATTTGCCAAACAAATGAGGAAACACGGAATTACCAATAGAAACCATCTAGGCACTTGGACTTGTATTGCGTATCACGAATCTCGTTTCAATACCAAAGCCATTAACCATAACACTGGAGATTATGGGATTCTTCAAATAAGTCATCTTTATTGGTGTTCTGATTCAAATACACCCGGTAAGTTTCACAACTCTAAATTGAAAATTCCTTATACGTTTAGATGTCTCTAGCTTATTTTTCTTATCTAGACACCACATAAGCTTGAGATTTTTTTTTCTATTTCTAGGAAAAGGATGTCATATAACTTGCAAATCACTCCTTGGGGAAGATATTACAGAAGATATCGTTTGCGCCAAAAAAGTTTACGCAGAACACCAAAGGCTTACCAGAAATGGTTTTAATGCTTGGACTACTTACAAAGCGTTTTGCCTTGGTGACCAAACAAAATGGATTTCTGGATGCAATTTATACGATTTGATGTTATCAGTGTTTTTTGGTATTGATGATGATAATGATGCTGTTCCGGAAAATGTTGAGGAAAATTATATTTATTAATATTTATAAAATATTCTTTTGAAAATACCTTATTATTCTAAAGATTATATTATACTGTGAGCCAAATTTAGTAACCAATAAATTTTAATTTATTGCACCTTTTAAATTTATTTTATGAGGGCTCACGTCCACTTAATTGATATCAGGCATAGGGAGAACTATAGAACAGCGCTTATTTGGAGTCTTGCTTTAATGAGCCGAATCAAGAACCAACGTTTCAAAACTAATACAGGTAGTTTGGTGACATCTTCCCTGACAGATTATACAGGGTGTTCCGAAATTAATGCAGCAAATTTTTATGGCGTTTTCTACGTCGAAAATAAACCCTAGTTTCCTATATAAACATATGTCCGGAAACGCTTCCTTTCCGAGATACAGGGTGTTGAAATTCTAAGAAACTAACTAAATATTTTTCTATCAATTTTCAAACCACTCTAGATATTTCATTGAAATTTTGTTAACTGCTTTCAAGCGGCAAACGACATTTTTTGATGTGAAATTATTTTTTTTAAAAATTACCAGTGACGTCCGTACCAGATTTGTATTGAATATTATTCAAGAAAAAAGTGGTGCGCCGTTGCTTTTTCCTAAATTAAAAATCATTTGTGAAATCCCCATTCAATTAGAAACAAATTTGAGCTCTTCACTTTTTTCCGAAAGATGCACCATTTTCAAGTAAAGAAGTTAAAAACCACCTGAAGTTTCAAATTATTTCTGTGACGTCACTGTTTTTTTTTTTTTAAGATTCCACATCATAAAATATCTTTTGCTGCTTGAAAGCAGTGTACAAAATTTTAATGAAATATCTAGAGTGGTTTGAAAATTATGATCAAAAAATAGTTTCTTTCTTAGAATTTCAACACCCTGTATCTCGGGAAGGAAGCGTTTCCGGACATATGTTTATATAGGAAACTAGGTTTATTTTCGACGTAGAATATGCCATAAAAATTTGGCGCCTTAATTTCGGAACACCCTGTATAAGTGTGTTTCGCGATCTATTTTTGGAAATTCCGGGCATGTAGTATCGATGAGGAGAATCTTAGATTTATCCTTTTTACTCTAGTTCCCACGTCCCAGGGCATGGAAATAACTTTTTCTCGTATCTCGCTTCGTTCTCGACAAAAGAAGTACTTCTAGCTCCATGTCCCTAAACAACATTCCAACGAGTGCATTACTTTCGAAAAGCTTCTCAAAAGTTTAACATGGCAACATTTGACATAGAAAAATGAAAAAAGCCTATTTTCCAAGTCCCAAACAACCAAGGAGTAAACTTGCTTTCCGCAATTAAAAAAAATTCACTCTTCTAGACCACAACCAAGTTATTTTTTTCAATATTCCTAAATTTTGAAATCAATTTTTGTATTTTTTATCTAGGTAGGTACTTATCTAAAGCTTCTAATTGCGAACAATCGTGCTAAGAATCAATGAAATGGGAGGGAGGATTTTTTAGCTGGGAATTAAAGATTAGTTGGTTCATCCCCTCTTTGAAGAACATGATTTTTCTAGATTTTCGGCTGATAATCCTTTTTTTTTCTAAAAATAGTTAAACTTTTGCTACAATACATGCGGGCATAGAGCGTTGCCAGATGCAGATCTGCGCTGAAAATTTGAATAAGTACAAAGTTTTTACTGGTATTTTTATTGGGCAAAAATCTTTAGCTTTTAAGATTTTTTGGGCACTAGAGGGAAAAGTAAAATGAATCAAAGAAAAAAAAGCAATGAAGAGAAAACAAAACTAAACAGTCATCTTTGCTGTTGGTATTTAAAGATCCGCACATATAAGATATATGGAAAATGGGACAATAACATCACGATTTTACCCATGGAGAAGTGAAAGTTATCCGTCTGTGAGAACAGAGATGACTTGCTGCTGATGAAAACGCTAGAAGATAAAGAATTTAGCTCACAGGCGTTTTAGTACAAAAATACACACCTATTTGTTCAATTTCTTTTAACATAATTTGACGACAATTTACCTTATACCTACCAGTACAAAGTTTGAGAAAATATATATATATATATTTATATATATATATATATATATATATATATATATATATATATATATATATTGCAACATATTAAAATACTTAAAATAGGTACTATCAATATAATCAACTTATTGCGAAGATTGAAAGATATTGTGTATCTAATAATAATAACCACCAGAATTTATTAATAAATAAGTAGATTATTTAGTTACAAAGCTATTGTTATAATGTGATATTTTTAGTCACAAATCGGTTATTTAAATAACTTATTAAAATTGATTCAATTTGAAATTAACGAAGCAATAATGTATAGTATTTATGATTATAGCAGGATGACAACGATCTTGCGTGGCCAAATTTTCTTGTTTTTAATTTTAATTTTTCTAAAAATATATTCTGCCTAATTTTGATCGCATCATTCGAATGGTAAACTCACGGGGTCTAGAATAATAAACAATCTATGTCTATAATATATGTTATTTTCAAACATATACAGGGTGACTCACAATCGATGGACCATTAGAAGTTTCTGGAGAACCAAAAGTCAGATCAATCTGAATTATTGGTTGCGGCCATAATCAAACATGCTCTATGGTTTGAAAATATTTTGCAGTGCAGTGTTGCCACTTCTTACTAAACTTGGCAACAGCTTTGGATTTTTAAATGGAATACCCTATATTATATTAAATTTTCGTAACCCAATTTTAATTTCAAATAGGTAACTTTCTCTCAAACTTACTATACCTATCTCCAGCCGTTTTCGAGATAAAAAAATTATTTCCAAAATTAGTAGCTAAAAAATAACTTAAAATAAATCTGGATTTCTCGTTCGTATGAATAAATAAAACGTTTGGTGGTAGCTAAACAAAGCCTCGAGGATTATTATTCTTTGCGCAACCAATAAAATGTTATACATCAGGAGGGCGTAAAATGAATGCATATAATAAACTCATTATAAATGTATCGAAAATAGCTTATTTGAAAAGGCACGAATAGTTTATTTTTATGCTATTAGAATGTTCCTATACCTTATCGTGTCGGACCTAGAAGCACTTCTTTACAAAAAGTAAGTACCTGTTATTTTACCTTAGCAGGCGTAAAATTATGTTGACCAGTGTTTTGACATTGACAAAAATATAAATTTTCAGTTTAATATTCAAGTAATAATTTTCTGACATAAAAATGGAAGAAAATAATTAGAGTAATCAAGATATTATGAACTTATTTATTATCTTTGGCCAATGTGATAGAATCATCAGCAGAACGTACAGAAAATTCAATGAAACCTTTCGAAATTTACCACAAATGAATCCTAAGAAATTCAGACGCCTTCAACATAATTTTAGAAATCATGGATCGAAATTAAAAGCCCCATTAAATCTACCAAGACCTGTAACCTCAGATGAGGGCAATGAAATTAATGTTTTGGCATACTTCAACATAAATCCACGTTCATCTATAAGAAAGTGCTGCGGCAGATTTAGGGACATCTCATTCACCTACCTATTCAACGAATTTCAATCAAGCATGGAATGCATGATTTTAAATTCACCAAGATGCAAGCAATTCAGCCTCAAGATGAGCCACAAAAGGTTGAATTTTGTGAAAGGTTGTTGATTTTTTAAAAAACATTATTTGGACAGATGAATCAAAATTTTCTTGTTAAGGAATTTTTAATATGGGCATAATTTACATTTCTGGGCTTCCGAAAATTCACATGTAACCAAAGAAGGAGCGTTTCAACAAAAATTTAATTTTAAATTTTTTTCCCTTTTAATAGACGATACATTTTATTTATAATTTATAACGAAAAACTAAATTCTCAAAAATACATAATACATGGAGATCCTGCAAACTACGGTTAGTGGTTTTATAGACGACCTACCATTACAGCAATACCGTATAGGGTTATTGGTTATAACCATAATGTCATTTATATTATCATCCCCTCTACCTTTTTATTTGACCTTTTAGAGAGAAGAGTCCCAAATCAAAGTTTTATGGTTGAATTTAAACTATTTAAAAAACTGTTTTTCACAAATACAGGGTGTTTCAGAAAAGTTGGTCCATCAGGTTCCACTTTGTTATTTTTAGAGGAATACCCTGTATATTATTGAATATTCGAATTCTACGTAACATTCTGAGCAGATTTCATGTGATATACCCTATAGGTATAGTCCGGGGGCCGAGGCCCTTTTTTCCAAATCATTAATAACAAGCTAGTTTTTTCAATGCAGCTTCATTTCACCGAGACGACCAACTTTTTTCTCACGAAAATTGCGAAAACAGGTAGCTAACATACTGCGCAGGTGTAAAATATGTCGATTTGGTGATTATGAAAATTTAATTAATAACAGTTAGATTTTTAACCAAATGTTGAGATAATTTTATGAATAATTTGAAACAATATTTGTCCGACAAAATAAAGGGTTTGGTCTATGATGTCCCCCCTCTCAAACATGTAGCAATTACGTTACATAAAAAATGATTAATAACCAGTTGATTTTTTTACTGTAGCTTAGTGAATATTACTACAATTAAATGGTCACACTGTCCTACAAATAAAGAGGTAACTTTTTCCAGTCCTACACTCAAAAGTTGTCGACTTCACGGTAATATTTATCTCATTAATAACTGTAGGTCACAAAAGCCACATGATAGATTAACATATTTTCTACCGAAATTAATCAATGTCCTACAAAAAAGTAGGTAGTTATCGCTAGTCCGACAAAAAGTATGTAACCGACGTAACCCTTGAAAAAAGTTTTCGATGAGAAGTTATATTAAAATGAAGTATAGGCTTTATAATCATATGTAATGTTGACTACATTAGTGTGTTCTTTGTCCCTGTTTGTCGCGATTTTCGCATTAGAAATGGTTATTCATGATTGAATATGTATGCTTGAAATTTTATAAAGCTAACTTGAATCGAATATTGTATATTATTCCAATGTGTCCAAGATAAGGAAGGCCAGTATGGGGATCTGGGAAACGGTAAGAGAGACGACGCACAGTGTTGCACTCAATGGACAAAATTCAAAAATGTTTGAATTTATTTTTGGATAATTAAAT